TAATATAACAAACAGTAATTTTTTTCAAATTCATAATCACCAAATGGCTTACTTGTTGGTGGTGTAGGAGTTGGTTTTTTGATTAGTTGTGCAGGTTTGACCGCATCTTTGCATTCAGCATCCTCTTCACTGTAGTTAGTTGGTGGTGGTACTTTGCGTGGACTCATTTGTCCTAGAGTTGGTTTCATATCAAACCGTTCAGGTTCCTCATAACGTTCTTCTCGTCGATGTTGAATATGTCTGTCTATTATATTTTGAGCCTAGTGAAAAAAAGAACAGAAACATATTTGAAAATTATTATTTATACCTGAACACGCTATACATAAAGCAATGTTTATTCCTATTCAATACTGTCATTTTGTCACCACAATTTTTGTATGTAAAAAATTTTGCAAAAAATTAAAAAGCCAACTAAATGCCCAACTCTTTGATGCTGGACTATGAATAAGAAACAACTCTTACGACTTCCCATCGTCTATGCAATACACTGTATAGGTAAAAGGAATATAAAACGTTTCTACTTTTTTTTTTTACCTTCTGTTGACAAGTAATCAGGTTAGGTTCTGTGCTGAATTCTGTAATTTTCAAGTTGTTTTTCACCGACTGTGAAGCTGTGCTTCTTGCATGCAGGGGTAGCTTCACCTGATAAGCTCTGTCCGTGAAGTCAATTTCGTGGTCTAACTGAACTCTTTTTATCCTGAAATATCATTGTTAAAAAACGATATTAATTTCACAAGCAATACAAAACAATAATGCAATTGTATACACCATTGTTATAAGTCACTCATGCTGGCAACAAAACACTTCTGTGACATTAAAATGATGTACTGTGAAATACTTCATTTTAGCTGAAAAGACATTTGGGCTGTTTTGTATGAAGTTTATTTTCACTGATTTTTGATGAGTTGAATGTGAAATATAGTATTTTCACTGGATTTCAGTTTCACTGATGAAATAAAAGAAAGTAGTCCAGTAGATGACATTTTGCAGTTGTTTAAAAGAGGGACTGTGTTAGCAAAACTTCCTAAAAAAAACACATTATTGGCCATAGATATATCACTGCCAACTGCATTACTTATACTCATTCACATCACAAAAACGTTTTGCCGTTTGATGGAGTGACTTCCTGGAAAAATCTATTGTAAATTCCTAAATCATTTGTTTTATGTGAGTACTTACGTTCTATTTGTTAGTTTTGTGTAGATAAGCTGGACTAATAGTTCTGCAGCATCTGGTTTACAGTGAATTGTACCATCAACTAATTCATGTGGGATGTCTAGACCTTCTCGTTTGAAAAACTACAAATAAAAAAAAAAAATAGTCATATACAATATACCAGTACACCTTAATGATAACTCAATCACTTAGTTTGCGCTGTATTCAATCAAGTATGTTATGTTTTTCTTACTTCATAATAAATTGTTAAAGTTATCAGCTTTCACCACAGCCATTATAGAATACATTGACATACCCTGGTATAGCTCAGTGGACACAATTGTTCACATTTTTCCCACATGTGCAGTCATGGTTGGCAAGAACCAGTTGTTTGCTTTCAAAGGTAAAAAAATATTGTTGTCATTCACATGATCAGAGACTTACCCTTTCTAACTGTGACCAGTTTCCAAGTTTTGTTGGCAGTGACTTTCCATTGTCATATGAATGCATCTGAATGTCCTGTTGGAAATACCAGGAAAATATTTCGGCTATGAGAAAGCCATTGGAGAAATCTCTGAAATATATTAACAGATGTGAAAGTGAAACATGGGTACTGTAATCTTTGATAGTGACTGTTATTATGTACCAATTTGCTAATACTGTAAAATACTTTATTTTAGCTGGAATTAATTTTTGCTGAAAAGATGTTTTAGGTGTTTTGTATGGAATTTATTTTCACTGATTTTTGACGAGATGAATGCAAAATATAGGAAAAAAGGTATATTTGCTGGATTTTATTTTCACTGAATCATTCCTTTAGCGAAAGTTAATTCCAAGCGAAAATAAAGTATTTTACAGTATTGGAAATTAACATTTACTATTGAATGTTGTTTAGCAAGTGAAAATGAACAATGTGTGACAATGTGCTGCTGAACATTGCAGTAGAGGGATAAACATCAATATTACATGACCATGCATCGAACATCGGATTGGACACAGGAAGAATATGGTGGGAGTGATTGACTTGACGTATTTTTATTATTACTATCAGCCAGAAAGTTGTATGATACTAAGGTTTTTTTCAATGATAATACTGTAACGCTATAACCTTGTAGTATCATACATTTGTGCACAGTCCCTCTGTGATTTGTGTATTTGTTATTAGCATAGCTTTGTTGTTATAATTAAGGGTTACCTACCCATTTTTATAATGCTGAAAGAAAAATACTTTATACAGAATTCACGAATGTACTTCATACTTTTCAATCAGAAAACAATATAAACAAATTCAAAACTATTATTAATACAAAAGAACATAAATTAATTAAGCATGTGACTAAATACTTCAAACTTTGTTTCAAGAAACATGACACATAAACTATCTCAGGCTAATTTGCCATTTTAAACTGCATTTATCTTAATTTTCTTTAATTTTTATTTTTAACGTTTTTTTTTTTTAAATTTATTACATAACAGCCAAAAATGATTTGTTAACTTTCATTATGATGTAATAAATGAAATTATTATTATTATTATTTTAAGTATGAGGAGAGGCTGGAGGAGTTCATATTTTTCAATTATTTTTAGCCCGGTGCCATTTTTTTTATTCACGCTTTTTCCAATTTTCTAACATTATATAGTCGTTGTGGATTTTTGTTGTCTCTTTTAATACCCTCACAAGTTGTTGGCGCTTAAATTGACAACATCTCATTTTTTTAGATGGGAAACTCTTAGATCGAGTGCATGTATATGGAGGTGTGTGTTTTTAGAACATGTCGACAAAGCCAGCTAGCTGTAACTACATGTACTAGTATGTGGCCTTAATTTATGTACATAACACAGACAACTGAACGAACAGAACCGTCTATCAAAGGTAAGTGTAGCTAATGGCCAAGCAACATCGTCAGCTCAAAATTTGAAAAACCACAACATTGCGGTTAGCGATTACGATCCAAAAATACCCACCTTCTAACATTCCTCACCGGAAAGCTCAAGTCTAAACTCTGAAGCCACTTTAAAACCTCTCTCGGTAACAAAGACATATTTTCGAAATACCCACTGACTGATCCGACGAGTCGATCTTTTGATCCTGCTGGACTCTAGATCCGTTGCTATGTTTGTTAGCAACCGTGTAATCGTTCGTGCTCGAGTAATGCTTTCCTCCAGCCAGTAGAAAACCACTTCCGTGTTTTATTGAGGGCGCACTTCATTTCAGTAGGTACGAAGACTGATTTATTGCAGCATACTCTCTGCACTGTATAGTGTATACAAATAATGACCAGTGTAGGATGCAGTATATCACCATCAAACATCTAAGAAGTAAATAGTAGGTTGCAGGCTTCATATCTGCTATGGCTGGTGCTAGTGGCATTGAGGCTTCCGCCATAAGTGTTTTAAAGAATGCAGTAGAGTTTGATACTGGTGGTAGATTTACTGAAGCCTTGGCGTGCTATAGAGAGGGGATACAATTACTAATGCAAGTAATGAAAGGTGAATAAATTCCATCATCTCCCTTTTTGAACACCTCATCTTCCCCCTCTCTTCCTCTTCCCTCTTCTCCTCCTCCACCCTCTTCTCTTCCTCCTTCCTTTCCAACACACCTGAGCCTCGACCTAGGCTTCACACAGTATACAAAGAAGCTCCCTAGAAGTGAATTCAAGCCTGAATCTACAACAATATTTACTAAATTTTACCATTTATGGTCTGCTACAGTATTAGAATCATTTCATGTGGTTTAGAATCCCACTTTGGAACATGCTAAACACAAATATTCTAAGATGTATGAAATATGTTTGTTTGAAGTTCACTTGAATGCACATGCGTGATTGAAAGTTATTTTGAGCACTTGTATGTTTATTTATAAACACTTAAAGGGCAGTAGTCGTCGCGCTACGCATGTGCGACATCTGTGTTGATAAACATTGATTTTCCCACAATCCAATGCGCTCTTCTAATGGAAATCACAAGTATGAGATTTTACCTGGGACTTCACTAATTACCGCCGGTGACTCCTTCGATACCTTCCAACTGAACCAAATAAAGAATACCTAATTAAAGCTTCGTAATGTCTCAATTTGTACTTGTTGAACTGCACAACAGTCAAAGTCGCCATCTTTGTTTATATGAGACCCATATATCTCGCGCATGCGTGGCGTGACAACTACCGTCCTTTAACACCCCCCTTAGGAGATGAAAAGGGTTACCTATTGACTGTTTAAAACATGCTTTCTTGTTATTTTTAGGTGTAAATTATGGTTAAATCTCACCCAACTTGTAAACACACACACATTTTGATTTTCAAAAAGAGTGATTTTGTGGAGCACCATGAATCGATTCACCTCGCTTAAGTACAATTTGCATACTAAAATCTTTTTTTTGGAACATTTGTAGCTGCATTTCAAGGGTTATCATTATAAATTCAGATTAGGGAAAACATGATAAGACTGATCTTATGGAATGCTTCACATCAAATTTATTTAATTATGAAAGCTGCATTTAAATTATTGATTGTGAAATCTTGCGTGAGATTTGCTTTGACTTTATGATGTCCCATGAAGTGAACACTCAATCACAAATAAATCAAAAATGTCAGAAATTCTTAGTCATTTGTAAGAAATTTGCAAAACTGACTCAGATGTTTTGCGAATTAATTGTAGCAGTTGGTATATGTCATAAAGTACTTCATATGACAAAGGCTACAAACAAAATAAATCAGATTATACAACTGTAACAAGACAATAAATTAATTCTTTAAAACTGATAATATCCAACAAGTCACCTAGTTAACAGCAATTCTCAGAAGTAGGGGCAGCCAATCTCGCTTGCGCTGACTCGTGGTCGGGTCCACTTTGGGTGAGTCTATATTGCATTAGGGAGCATAGAATGCTTTTACGTAGCCTAGTACGTGTTTGGATTCCCTTGAATGATTTGCTTTGCGAGGCATGATAATGTGAAAGTAGTTTCACTGGTCTGCCTGAGAATGGCC